ACAGCTGTGCTTACACATCTTGAAATAAATGTTTCCAAGAATGGAGGTTTCTGTTGCTCCCATTTATATCTAGAATTATGCAAATGCAGTGACCTCTTCATTGCCAAGGTTAGAATTCTCATGCAGGATGCCTGAATTTATAAAATGCTTCGAAGACATGCTGAATTCCTTTTGCTTTGAGAAGCTAGAGAGCTTTGCCAGAGTCCTCTGAGAAGGCAGAGGAGGGAAAGGGGACAGAGCAACAGCACATATGAATGCCTGGCAGGAAATCGGGGGGACTTTAGGAGTGGAATTTAGCACACAAGTCGGCATTAATACCAACTTGGAGCGGCCAGACTGCTAACATGTGCTGCCATCGGAATGCTCCACTTTCTGGCCAAGGTCAGAATCAAGGGTGGCCGTCCATCCACAAACAGAATCTGAGCTGCTACTTCTCACTCCCCACAATTACACCACCTAGACTTTTCCCAACAAGGACCTGGCGGTCCTAAATTAAGCCTGTCATTTCTTCTTTGAAATGCTGCTATAAAGTTTGGGCCAACTCTGTACCCAGCTCAGTGTGCAGCTTTGTATACAAAGCCCACTTCTGATTTCTAATTTTTTTATTTTCCTTTTGTATTTTATTCCACATATACTTTTGTTGGATTATATGCATTGTTAAATGTTCCTGTAGTTTCTGGGACCAGGAATTGCAGAAACAAACTTTGGATTAATCACACGATAAAGAATGCTAAATGAATGACTCATTCTCACAGGCTGATTCAGGCTCACGGTTTTGGAGATTAAATATACGGTGGTATTTCCCAGTGATTTTGTATTCCACCTAGAGCAACAGTCACTTACAGGAACTTGAAATTTAGGAGCTAAATGTAAGTGAAAGATGGGTTCAAAATGTCCTCAGATGAATGCTTTTTCAGAAGCTCCCCAAGTTCTAAAAAGGTTCCGTGAACACAGAATCCTTCTGGATAGGAGTGTGTGTGGGAGGCTGGCCTAGGAAGGTGCTTGGCGGCCAAACAGGGCACAGCATACAGGAAAACCAGAGGTGGGTCTTTATTTCACAAGTTTCAAGATACAGTACAAAACGAATCTGTACATCTCTCTATTAACAGGATTTGTTTGTTTACACAATTATATTACACTTCATCAGTCTTTATACTGCATTTCATAAAACACAAATTTACAAAACAAAAGAACCCCAAACAACCCTATCACGGTTCTTTCTCACAATGCCAGCTCAGGATCTTTCCAAAACTCCCTCTCTTCTCTGCACTCACAGTGGTGACACTCTGATCAGACCGACATGATGATTTTCTCATCTCAGATTCAAAGAGTAGTGTCAGACTATTAGTCAATCCAAGCACGAGAGGGTGCACGAGCCCACTTGCCGCTCACACCCAACAAGGCTCTCAGGCACACACTCTAGATTTTCTCTTGTGCAAATACTCACGCTAAACCACAGCTCCTTTAAAATTGGGGTTGTCTTACATTTTCTGGGACTAGCACTTGGAAAGAGACGTTCAGCCCTTTTGTACGAATACAACACATTTAAAAAACCAGCTATTGCCTCAGACAACATGGCATCAGAGATGTTCTGTTTCAGAGCAAAGACTGATGAAAAGTATTTTTGTGAAAGTAGGTGTTTTCCTTTCGCTCTACTTACCTCCTGCATTCTTCTAGGCTTAAAAATGTGGAGCATCTGTTCAATTAACGTCCAGAAAAACCAAGCGACAGTCACTAGGATAAGTGTAGCCGCCAGTGTCCTCTGGGCAGTTAGAAGTGGCTGTTAACCAGGGGCATCTTGTTTTGAAATGTGCACAGGAAATGTTAGTCCAAACCTCCAGGAAGGAAGTGTTCTGCTGACAGACATTAACACACATGTAACACACGTGGAGAAGAGTGGCCTCTGCTTACAGGTCTGCATTCATGCTTCCAAAGCATTGGTTTGAAATACAACCGAGAGCAAGGAAGAGAGAGGAAAAACCAAAAACTCTCATATAATGAAACACTTTAGTTTTCCGAGGCAAGAGTTTATTAGAGAATTAGGTCTTCACTGGGTCTGTGGTGATTTTATAAAATATCACTGATTTTAAATGCTTTTTAATGACTTCCCAAAGGTACAGTGAAAGGATAGCTCAGGGGGATAAATCTCAGAAATGAACTTTATCTGCATAAGGGCAGCAAATCCGCAAATTTAGTGGTCCACAAGTTCAGCTGGGTGATAAATAATGAATTTTGAAGGGGAAAAAGGAGCCTTTTCATTTACCTTCTCTGTGCCATTGACTGTTAATCAAAATGAGAAAGAGCCCCGCCCACACAACTAAACCATCAAACACAGAGAGGACTAAAACTCCAACACATCAACCCCTCACTGTCTTCGTAACCTCAACTAGAATCAGACTAGACCGTCTCAAGCCTACGCAGTGAAACAGCTGGCTAACCACCACATCGTACGCACAAGAGAGCATAGATGTGAAACAGAGTACTACTGGCACCGTCTCCTAAGGCAGGAAGACAGACTCTAAAAGGGATCAGGAGCGGATGGGCTACTACTATGGACAAGTGAAGCCATACTCTGTCTGTTAACTACAAAGCCTAACATTAAAACTCCTGAATCCCTGAGTTGGTTTAATGTCACTGACATTAACTAGCTTTTGTTACTGTCATTTTATTCAAATGGATGCCATTTGATTAGGTAAATATTGAGCATTGTTTTAGGAGAAAAACCAAACCTAGTTCCTTTTTGCTTAGGTAACATGTCCCATGAACAAAAAAAGAAAAAAGGAACTATTTTGAGACAGTCTTTAAAGGAATCCACAGCAACTATGTGCTTTAAATATAGCATTTAAATCTCTGCTAAAAGACTCCAGGGTGAAAAGCAACCAAGAAGTGGATCTTAGGAGTATTAGTGACAGGGTTAGGGCCAGTGGAAAACTGATGGGCAGGTTGCTATTGCACGAAGAAGCTCCATCCATCCTCAGGTAGTGCACATTGCTTTAAGGAACGCTTTCTCCAAGTACGGAGGGAGGGAAGTACAGACAGACATATAAATACTGCTAAGAAGAAATTAAGTGGATGGCTAAAGAAAAAGAATGAAAGTTTACAGTCACTGTGGGGGTCTTCTTCACTTGTAAATAAACAAAAGCAGTTCCTTCTAAATGCAGTGTGGATGACACTTATTTTGAAGAGTGGGGAAAAGATGCAGTGATGAAGAAACCAGCATCTGATACCAACTGCACTCAAATCTCTTTAATTATCACAGAGGAAGCAAAAGCTCCTACATAATAAAGCACTCAAGTTTCTTGTAGTATTTATAGGAACTGCCAACAGTGACATTACAAAGCTGAAGGTAAAATTCTCTTACCTTTCAAAGATATGTTTGTATTTATACAGGTCTATGACTTACTCTTCAAATCTGGAAGAAACTGATCTGGAAGGATAGGTTTCATATGATAAGCATGTAACTTCAAAAAAAAAAGTGTCATTTCACATGGAAAGCCTTCCCTATTCACTATGTGGGTTGCTGTTAGTTACCTTCAAGTTGACTATGACTTAGAGTGACCCTAAGAACAGGTTTGAACCTTGGTTTATAATGAACCTTATTCATTACAGACTAACTGCCCTATAATGAACCTTGCTCATTACAGAGTAATAAAATCTTGTTTTGAAAACATGGTCAACTTAAAAACACCAAAGTCTTATCACTCTACAAGTTAATGAATGCTTCCAATTTTCAGCCAAATGATGGATTAAGAGAAAAAGCATATGAAGATTCAGACTAGACTGTGTTGGTGACTACCAGAATCTGCCAATGAAAAGAAACAGAAGTTTGGCTTACATGTTAATATTCTTTTGTTTGTGTGATACTGCCAAGTCCTCAGTTTTCCGCTTGGTGTTAGTTTCCCCCACACTATTTAAACAGACAAGTCAGAAGTGCAGTAGCTTTGATTTTCCTTCTGTTAATAGTGGGAGGCTAATGAATACAACAGTTACCGAGCAAGCAACTATCTTTTTACTGTAGTATAAAACTGGCAGGAAGAAAGATCTAAATAGTATAAAACAGTGCAAAAGGCTTTGGCTTTCCTCAATCACCGAGTTTCATCAATCCTTCATTCTGTGAGTGTTAGCATTAGATTAGTAGTTACATCTGTGATATATTATAAATCCTGGGGAACAAATGCTTTCACTTTTAGGAAACTCTTTCTATGACATTCGTACCCCACTTACGAGTACAAAATTAGATTTTTTTTTAAAGGCCTCCAATTTAGAACATCCTCTAGCTTCCAGATCAAATCTCTCTCTACTGAGTCCAAACAAGCAAATACCACTGAGTAGGGAGGACAAATTCCTGTTTTCTCAGGGAAGTCAGTAAACAGTATTTTATATAATTTGATGTCAAAGAGTGAAATCCACAAAAGACTCTCTTAACAGCACATTTCAGTTTTCAAAGGAGAGAAGTATGGTATCAAGTGTGACAATCACAAACAAACAAGAAACTTCCCAAGCGTCCCTTTTAAAATAATATGCAGAATATGTACACTTGCATAAGGACGGCCAAGGGAGTTTCTCAGTTATCGCAGCTGCAAAACACTGAAGTCATCTCTCTTTTTCTAACTTAAAAGGTAAGTTCTATTTTCAGTCTTTCAAATATGTTTAGGTTCAACCTGCAACTACCTGGGGCTTCTTCTTCACACTGATCACTTTTTAGTGTTGCTGCATAAGACCTTAAAGCTGGTCAGTATTAGAACTTACGCATGTTGGAAGAATGCACGAAAGGACCCAACAAAGCCAGCTGGATACGGCAGACATTACTGAGTGTCTCACATATGTTTCCAGAAGAACAAAAAAGGGAAGCCACTGAAAGCTGTTATTCCATATGGCACTGAAACAAACATTCAACTCAGCTTAGGTAAGAGTTACTTATCCCTGAAAATAAAGGCAGCAGATTCTAAGCAGCTTTAGGAATTGCTTCCTCGTGCCTCTTCCAGGAGGTGGACACTGTTCCAAAGTCCTAAATCGAATGCAAGTGTTCTCAGCACACAACATCCTTGGCTGTCACTGTTCAAGGCTGGACATGGTGGCTGCTATTGCTGTGGTGGCTGCCGATCTTGCGGCCCCTCCTGCTGAGGTGGAGCGGCCCGGGGCCCCGGGGGCCGGGGTACTGGCATGTCCTGGTGCTGCCTCTGCCTGTAGGCTATAACTGTTCCCAAGAGCAGCGCGATGATGGTCATGAGGTAAAGGTCCCACTCGGGTCCCAACAGCTGGTCCATGTCAAGCTGGGTGAACATATCTCGGATCTTCAGGAAGACAAAATAAAAGTATTATGATCACCAAACTGTCAGAGAAGGGAGTGAGAATAAGAATTCCATTATCAGGAACTACAAGTACTTTAAACATGGCGCCCCCCAAACCACTGACAGTGGTACTGTACACGGTCTAGTACTATTAACTAACACAGAGGTGTTGAAGAGAAAAGGAGGTTATCTCCTGTCTATTTTCTACTGTTGGCCTTTTAAATAACAGAGGCCATCTTTATAACTAAGTGCTGGTGGTGTTTTTAACTTAAGTTTCACTCTCAGAAAGAAGCACCTCAGTCTCAAAGGGACTGGACAAGCTGGCAGGTTTTCTTCTTTCTGTTTTAAAGGGCAGGTCTGAGTCGCGTCAGGCAGACCTCTTTAATGTCTACTGGATTTAGTCAACTAAACCCAAACCAAAGCCACAGCCATTGAGCTGATTGTGACGCAGGCTTGGTTCTTCCAAGGCTGTAAACCTTTATGGGAGGAGACTGCCCATCATTCTGAGTGGCCTGCGTAAGTGTCAGTACTGGCCTAGGTCAGGAAGTGTGTGCATCAATGAAGAAGGCTTTAACATGTAACTGCTCTGCCCCTGTATTCATCACTCACTGCCTTCTGTCCTTTACATCTGGGGGAGAAATGCAGAAACCAGACCTTAACAGGACACTGATCTCCCCAGTATTCCATACCTTGACTTTTTAAAAACAAAACTCAGGGACTGAGAAGGCTGTATTTGTATTTTAATCAAAAGAAATATGAACCAAAACCCAAAATATGAAAATTGCCATGAACCACTCACATTTGTTTCCTTTATGTACTGCAAGAAATAGACCACGCCCAGCTTGCAGAGTGCTAGGAAGACAGGTACTTGGGCATCTGGGCTTGCTTCGGCTGCCATGTCATAAAAACGTTTGGCGAGGTGAATATCCTATAAATAATAAGCCAACGTTAATGTCCTGTCAAAATAAGATTTAGTTCATATGCTAGAAAAACGTATTGTCTTAAAGGTTTTCATTTTAAAATGCATTTCCCTAATCTAAAGAGCAACTCCAACTTTACTTGGGTAAAATGTAATTATCCCACGGCAGAACTTTGAAAAATTTAACAAACAATTAGGAAACTTGTTTCCTCCTCTGATTTCATTTACTATACAGACAGCTGAATACAGTCAGGCATCAATGCAGAACAAATGTTTAAGTGGAGATTTCCAGAAGCAAGCTGCAAGTTAAGCTAAATTTTTCCTAACTAAAATTTTAATTATTTTTTAACAACTCTCAATTTCAATTTGGAGCAGTGATCTTATACATAATTTAAGAATTTCTAAGGGATATGTGAATAGAACTTTGATTTGTACTCCTTATACAAAAAACCGAGGTCTCCTTGTAAACATGCCTGTGTGCAGTCACCTTTTCTTCACTTTATAAAAGAAAGGTCCATCCTTACCTACTCCCTAAGCATATCAGGTGCTTTGACCTGGCGTGTACAAACTTTAGAGGCCTCTACATCTTTAATGATTAATTATAATCTCATAGGGTATTTTGCATTTTCTGTCTTAGACGTATTTCTATAGAAGATAAAAACGTCCATTTTGGTTCAGGTTAGCATAATGTGAATTCAGGCATATGGCAGAACAGTGTATGGGAAAAGATCATGGTGGGAACTGTGACAATTTTCAATTAAAAAACCTTCATTTCTTCTGTTGTGAGTAATGATAAAGAATACCAAATTCTTAAAAAAAAAAGAATACCAAATTCTTAAGACTCTCATGTGAAAAAGAAGCTAAACACTAAAAAATTAAGTATTTAAACATAAGCAGTTATTTTCACTTTCACCCTATTGTCATCCTTTATTTAAAAGTACCTTCAAAAACAATGAATAAATACTTTGTAAGTAAACCAGAAAAAAATAAAATACCAAAAGAAGTTATAATAAAAAAAAAAGTACCTTTAAACAATGGCAATAGTAGTCTCTCTGATTTTTGAAAAATAAGTAACCAAATCAGGATTAAGCATCCATGGATCAAATGTCTTTGTGATAACAGATTTTATGTAGATGATTTAAAAAAGGTGATTAAAACCTACTTATAATTTCTATACTGTTAAGTAGGAGAAAATTTGAAAAAGTTATTGTGACATCTTATAGTTACTCCTTTTATATGTCATTGCTGCTAGGTGCCTCTGAGTTAAGTACGACCTCTTAGAGACCCTATGAATCAGAGACCTGAACCCTGTCCTGTCCTGTACCATCTTCATCATCTCTGATACACGTGAGTCCAGTGCTGCAGTCACCATCTCTATCCAACTCAAAGGTAATGAACAACAACAACACGAACATAGATATAGGGAGCGCTGGTGGTTTAGTGGTAAGGAGTTGCACAGCCAACCCAAAGGCACTTGGTTTGAATCTACCAACCTGCTTCACTAAAGAAAGATGGGCATTTTTTCCCATGTAATTTACTGTTTCTGAACTTACATTGGAGGGTCAGCAGTGAGTTGGTTCTGACTCGATGGTACACAGCAACATACATATATACGTTTCAGATAAACAGAATGATCACAAGAGATGCAAGCGTTAATCACATTATTTTAGTGTAGTGGAAGGCTGGAAATCCAAGTTCACAGAGAAAAGATTTATTTTCCAATGAAAGATTTTGCTTATATATCTTTTAAAAATAAGAATTATGAGTATCAAATTATTTGGCCCCAAGAGATCCTGCGTGTAAATATATATATTTAATTTTACACTGGTTTGTATAAAAAGTTCGTATACTTTGTGTTTCTCACTATCCTTCACTCACATGTGTTTCATACAATCATTCTCACTCATTATATTTTATAAAATCAATCCCCATGAACCATGTCCATCACTACCCTGTCTTTCCAGATGCCACATGGTCATATTTAACAGTATTTAGAAATTTATTTAAAAAAATTAATATGTAAAATGTAATAAAATTTAGATTCCTTGAAATTTATGATGGAAAAACTTGTCAACGGCAACTTGAAGATGTGCATGGATTATATCATGGTTCTGTGCTGTCAAGTGAGAAGTGACTCAGAGTTGACCCTCTGAACAGGTTTTCAGTCTCTAACTCCCACCAGGAGTCTAATTTTTCTCATTTATCAAAATATTTTTCAAAGTATGCAGGACAAATTTTAACCATGAATCTGCAGACTATCAGAGTCATTACAAAGGTGTTGTTATGTCCCAGTGGGTCGGAAGCCACCATGGCTGACCCTCGACAGGTTTTCAGAGGCAGTTAATCACACGGGAGGATTAACTCTTGTGCCCATCCTTCTCCTGTGGAGCAGCTGGTGGATTCAAACTGCATGCCTATGGGAGTGCAGCGCAGCTTTTGACCAATAGGCCACGAGAGCTCCCATCCTCACACCAAGGTATAAGAACTAGAAATAAGTTTATTGTAGCAAACATCTTAGTTTAGCAAGAACAGAATGAGGCTGAAGAAAGGCAGAAAGCCTCTTAAACAAAAAAGTTATCAACTGAAGCAATACTGCACTTTCATTTTCATGAGTCACCTTTGGCTTCATGCTCTAAATATGATAGTATCGATATTGATATGTGTGCTGGTGGCCAAGAGCAGAGGAATTACACAGCTAAATGCTGTGCCTCTCTGGTGGCTGGGACCCACCTGTGGCTGCACAGGAGAAAGACAGGTCATTTCCCCCCTTGATTTATAACCTCTGAAAGCTGTAGGGGTCAGCTATGCTCCTGTTGCAGGATCTGCAATGAGTTGTCTCTGTCTACACTGCAATGAATTTAAGATTTTGTCCAAAATGAGAGACAGAGGGCAGTCTTCGTCAACACAGCAAAACTGTTTCATGTTTTAGTAGCCTAAAATCTGAGGAAGTTTCAAGGAAAAATCTACCTTCTATAATATATAAAATACACGTTTCCTCCAAACAGTTAACAGGCCTCAGACATTGTCAAGTCCCACTCACCTGTTTAATGCCTAGTCCTTTCTCATGCATATATCCCAGATTAAACATAGCTTGTGCACTGTGCTGTTGCTCAGATGCCAGACGATAATGAATAAACGCGGTCTCGTAATCCACATCAGTGCCAAATCCATAGAAATGGTAGTCTCCAAGCTTAATCCTCGCCACAGTATAGCCTTCAACAAAAAGAGAGGTAAAAACTGCCAATAAAATGTATTTGAAATCAAAACTGCTATTTGATTCTATCATTTTTCTATAAAACAGATTTTTTTTTTTTTAGTAAACTACTCTTTAACAAACCCGTCAGACAGGCTATAAAAACCAGTAAAAAAGAGCAGAACAGGGTAGCTCTTTCAGAGCGTGCTCTGTAGTAATCAAGAAGAGATGGAAGGAGGTGAGTGTCTTCCTACTTCACTATGGAAAAAAGCTCCAGTGCTGTCCAATGGATTCTGACTCCCAGTGGCCCTGAAGGATGGGGTGGAATTGCCCCATCGCTCTCCAGTGAAGCGGCTGTGTGGTTCCAACCAAGCATGTGGTTCAGATCGCAGTGGACTGCTTAACTACCGCACCATGCTGCTTCCTTACTTCACTAAGAATATTCTTCAGTATTTGTGGTTCCCTCAGTCTTGTACATTTCAAAATAGTTGAGCATGGAGGAGAGCTGAGTAGACTAATGTTCAGAGAAATAAATGTGAGAAAAATCCATAGTAGAACAAGACTGAGGGAAGGTTAGAGAGTGCTTCTAGGTCTTAGGCAGCGATTAAACGAAATACTCTCCTCAATGCTCATTTAACACAGTACAGCCTCATGTTAAAAACTAAAGACTGAGCCACAGTGTGATTTACATTCCAGCACAAAGTCTTTGCAATTCTATTTAAAAATTCTAGGATAAGAATTCCATTTCAAGAATAAATACTTGATGTATTCCATGTAATTAGTTTCAAGGTAATAAAGGACACTACCTCACTTTATGGGACGCAGAAAACAAGAGGTCTTGGTGAAATACTTACCCCAGAATTAACACCTTACCTTGAGAGGCAGCTCTGTTCCAATGGAGCAAAGCTCTGGGATAAGTTTCATTTTCGCCTACAATGGTTGCCTCTCCTGTAAAGAAAGAAATGAAATACATATCAAGTCTCTAAAGAAACACTCTAGACTTATATGAGCATTTGCAAACTAGCGTGGCTACATGGAGCATAATATAAACAACGAATACATATAACAATTACTGGAATAAAAGACTGAATTAAAAGGTAATAATGGATTCAGGACAACACTATTTCCTGAAACATGTTACATCTACAGAGTCAATAAAGAGAATCATTACTGGCACACTGCATTACATGTCAGGCTGCTAAGCAAAATGTCAGTAGGTGGAATCCACTGAGTTTCTGTTCTGAGGAAGAAAGGTGTTCGGTCCCCTCTCTACAGGGAAATTAACCTGAGGTACAGCCTTGTGCTCTCAATCTAAGGCAGAAGTGAAATAAGCCTCACTCTGATCGAGAATGAAGGCCGCGTTGCTCTGGGCCACCTCGTAGCCCTGCTCCGCCAGCAGGAGGTACTGGATCACCGCAGCGTTGTAGTCTCCATCTTTATAGCTGTTATAGGCAGCCATGAGCCTCTCAGACCAACGACCTCGTTCACATACGTTCTTGAACAACTAGGAGAAGGGAGAAGAAAGGGAGCAAATAAAAAAAAGAAGCAGGACTCTACGACAGAAAATGTCTGGCAGCTCTAACAACTTTGCACAAAAGTTTGAGATATTTAGTGAAGCTTTTGGTCGCTCACTTGTTAAAGGTCGGCAAGTCACGGAAATAATTACAAATTATTATATACCAATTAGTCTGTGCTAGGCAGTGTTCAGGGAGTGCTGGTGACCAAATGAAAGGCAGGTGGTTCGAATCCACCAGCTCGGAGGGACAAAGATGAGCAATCTCCTCCTATGTGATCTACAGTTTCTAAAAAGCTGCTAGAGAGTCAGCCATGAGGCAGGCGTGATTAGACAGGACATCATAACTAACAACAAGCACTGTTCTACGCCTTTTCATGTACTAATTCAGTTAATACTTCCAACAGCCATATGACAGTGCCTGACAGCTAGTCAGCCATGAGTAACCCATTTTAAAAGGGAAGACACTGAAGCAGAGCGGTTTGGAAATTTTTCTAAGCATTCATCAATTTCAACCTAGTTCCTAGGTAGAGGAGTATTTCAGATGAGGAGACTGAAAAGCATTCTCCTTTGTTATACTCATTTAACATATACCTTTTTTCTATTTTTTTGATGGCTGATTAGACATGATGTACTGTCTCAGATGAGAGGGATCCAGCAGACAACAATATCTGCCCTTATAATACTGACTCTAATATAGAGACACACTAAATGAGTGAGCACAAAGCAACACAGAGCCCCTCAGAGTCTTCCCTAAGTTCAAGTGATGCCAGGAGGAGGAGTTTAAAAAATAAAAACAAACAAAAAAACCCCACCCACACAGAAAGATAAACAAAATGAAAAGGTAGACTTTCCTACCAGGCAAAGCAACTCCCTTTTCAGTCACCAGGAAAGCCCTTACCTCCACCGCCGTGTGGCACGATCGCATGACCCCTGTGCCGCTGGCGTGCATCTGGGCGAGGTTATAGAAGGCCAAGATATGGCCTCCCTGAGAGGCTAAATTAAAATACTTCAGGGCCTGTTTATAATCTCTCTTGACTCCGATGCCATCTGCGAGACAAACAACAGGAAAAGTCAGGAACTGTTTTAAATAGAAGAAGCTTTCCATTTGCAGAGCAAAACTCTAAATGTAAGTCAGAATTCTTCCTCAGGGAAGATGTGACTATGACTAATAATGATAACTTACAATGGAAAACAAGCAGCAGAAATCAGTGAAGTGGGAGGACAGTCACCTATGAGACTGGACGCTCCCATTTCTTGATCACAGTGCATCCAGTGGAAGGAAGCAAGCGCTCCTGGTTCGGCCACCACCATTTCCCACGTTACTTACTGTAGTACATGGAGCCAAGCTGAAGCTGCCCATCCACCCAGCCTTGCTCAGCTGCCTTCTGGAAATACTTCAGGGCCAGATCATAGTTCTGTAGAAAAAGATCCCACATCACCAAAAAAGCTCAAAATATTTTCTTAGGTGATTTAATTCATTTAAAGTTATCAGACTTTAAAAAGACTAATGAAGTCTTGAGATAAGCCACAACAACATGGATCAACCTTGAAAATATTGTGGAATGCAGTCAGTCAGTCATAAAAGGAAAACCGCGTAGAATCTCACTAATATGAAATACTTAGAACAGATAAATGTATAGAGATCAGAGTTTAAAGTGGTATAAGGAGGAAGAATAGTAGAGAATTTTTTTTTCTTTGCCAGTATTGAGTTTCTAATTATTAGGCTGGGAAATACAGCAATAGATGTTGGTGGTGTAATTTTAAGAGTACTAGACCTAGGAGCTCTGGTGGCCTAGTGGCAAAAAGCTACACTACAATCCCAGAGGTACATAGTTTGAATCCACCAGATGCTTTACCAGAGGAGGGGCAATCTCCTCCTGTACCAGTCAGATCCAATTTGATGGTACACACACACACAAAATAAAAAAAAAAATTTTTTTAAAAAGAGTATTAGACCCGATTTTGCTAAATTGTATAAACGAAAAACATTGAATTTGCAAATGTGTTTATTATCTATAATTTAAAAAAATAAGAGACTCCTTTTCCCCCTAATAATGCGTGCTATTATTATTATATACTGTCAAGTCAGAACCGAGCCACAGCTGATCCACCAGCAGCTTTTCAGAGACAGTCAATAACATAGAATATTGTCCATCCTTCTCCCATGGAGCAGTTGGTGGGTTCGAACTGTATGGCGTTGGGACTGTAGCACAGTTTCTTACCACTAGGCCAACTCTGTTAACATAGTTCATTCTTGGAGAACTTGGTTGTGCAGTGAAAGGCTGGAGAGAGAAGAGCCTACAGCTGGGTTGGAGAGGAAATGAGAATGAGGAGGGGAAACGTAGACTGGAAAGCTTTCCCCTTTCTGAACGGGAGAGTCAGGCATGTGTGCAGGCCCGAGGGAGGAAGCAGGAGGCAGGGGAGATGCTGGAGAGAAGGCAAAGGCACAGATGGAAGACTGAGAAACAACTTCCCACCCTGGGGAGAAAGTGCCAGGGGCGGAGTCCAATCCGAAAAGGGCAGCCTGGGAGGTGAGCGGGGGAATGAATCAAAGCTAAGAGTCCAAACGAGAAGACTGCGCTTTGGTAAGAGTGGAAGAGCCTCCCCTAAGCTGACTGAATCCTAACCAAGGAATATTGAGCCCATGAGCTTTTTCAAGTCCGAATGTTAGCTTGAACACTTACAATCTGCACTCCTCTTCCATAGAGATAAGCCATTCCAAGCCCACTCTGTCCAACTGGGTTTCCCTGAAAACAAGAAAGAGACAAAAGGAAAGATTCATTCAAGAAAGTAAGAAAATGAGTCCTTTATTATAAAAAGCAAAGGGAAAGGTTTACACACCAAAACAAACATTATTTCATGGTTAGCAGGGATGAGGAAAAATCAGTAACTAGAGAACTATAAAAACCAACTAGGCAACACACACATATTATTAAAACGGATGAAGGCAAAAGGAATTAAAGAAGGCATCCACACCTTTGGAAGTCAACTCTAGTCCCAAGAAAGTCTGTATTATGTATTAATGCTTTAAAGTATGCACTTATGTAAGAGTTTAAGTCTCAAACTGCAATACACTTAGGAGTAGATGATATAATTCTTTGTGCCTTTAATAAAATAAACATTTACTTGATACTTGGTTAAGATATATTTCAATACAATTTAAACAGAAATTGAATATTCTGTAATTTGGTTGCTAAAAAAAATTCTTTTTTTCTAGTCCATTCATATCAATATTTACATTGCTCTTTCAAGACATGTGACAAGAGTTGGTTACGATTAACATTTGAATAAAATAAACTTATTTACTGAAGTAACAGTTGTTATTTGCAGATTTGTTTTCGTATCACAGGGACTTCAGTTGGCTGACGGGCCACAGGCGGCTTTCCAGGCTGTAATCTTCTGAGTTGGTTCTAACCAGACCACAGAGACCAAGCCTGTCTCCTATAGAGCCACCAGGTGGGCTAATACTTCCAACTTTTTAGTTTGCATTCAAATGCTTGACCATTACGCTACCAGGGCTCCTTAAACGAAGTGTATGGCGTGTGTTTCAGTGCACGGAATCTCGCCATCTTACCATGTCTGCAGCTTTCTTAAAGTAGTGAAGAGCCGTCTCGTTACTCTGAGGTACAATGTCACTTCCTTCTGAATACATCTGGAAGACAAATTCCAGTTTTCATCAAGAGTCGTCGTACCCAACTACCCACCTGAAATTTTCACCCATCACATCTCATTCTGGATCTCCAATCCCAGGATAAGTTAGAAGCTGGGAAGGTCAATGGAATGTCTACGACCCACAAGAAATTTTAGAAGCAATATTTAAAAGGTAATCATGCTAAAAATGTGAGCTGAAATGACTAAAATGAACAAAATATACATAAGTGCTTAATGGGGGGAAAACCAGAGCTCCATACAAACAAACAAACAGAAAAGCTGACTTCAGATTAAAAAAAACAGTAAGATGGTTATTTTCGAAGGTCTTATACACTGAAATTTAGAGCCCCAGGTATGGAACCTGATTAAGCTCCAAAGGAAAGGAACATGGAACAATCTCTGACTCAGTTTATGCACATATACAGTAAGGAAACAACAAATAAGGGAAACAATTTCTTGTCGGAGCAATAACTAAAAGCAAGAACCAAAAGGGTTGCAACGACAAGTTCTTAAATGCTTAACAAACATAGATAGAGGAAAATAAATTTCTATGCTCTAATAGTTGGAATGTTTAAATATAAAGTTGCCAAACCTCAATTAACAAGGGTGATCACATAGTAAATATGGATTGTTTTTGTGGTCTAGTTCCATCTACACTTAAGTATCTTAGGATTTGCTTATAGATAACAATACTCATGGATTTTCACAGTGAAAGAAAAAAAATTCTGAAGTCATGCCATGAAAAAGGTAAATGACTCATTAAGTCTGTACACCTGACGGGTACAGACTCTTTCTTGCTTGAGAACAGAACTGAACGGAGAAGTACATGACATAACATGGCTGTCATAATGAACTTAAAAGACAATCAGAGCTGCAGAAATGGGCCACTAAACACTACAAGCTGCTCCCGAGCCCCTTCTGACACAAGCGGACCCCAGGCTTTGCTGAGAAGGCCTTTATCCAAGCTTTCTGAAGCCGATGTCAGCTGTTTCTCCTGAGTAGACTCTGGATGGTGTGAACTGTCAACCGTGATGGCTGGCAGTCAAGTGCTTAAACATCTACACCATCTAGACCTCCTTAACAAACACTAACTATTCACCATAGGAAGAAATAAGCTTATGAAAGACTGAGGGAAAAAAATTTGCAAAGAATAAATACCTCACTAGTCAACAGAATATACAAAGAAGTGCATACACAATAAAAGCTACTTTCAATGGACAATCTCTGATGACAGACAAATGCTATGCTTGTTGCCTAAGAAAACACCTGAGACTAGCCATGTACTGGAAAGGAAGACAGAGTACCTTTGTATTGGAAATTTTCTCTCCAATTCCTGCTTGTTAAGTCGTAGATCCTGAATACAATATGTATTTGCTCTGCAAACACCTCTCCCTATTACATCACACATTCACAGGATGTACAGTACCTTTCCCAAGAAAGCCATGGCGTGTGAATTGCCAGCATTTGCAGCTAAATTGAAGTAGTCAAATGCTCTCTGTAAGAAAAAGAATTGATAGAGAGAACTTCAAAACAGTCATCAATACAACCATCAAGATACCATTTATAAAACAACACATCAAGGTACCGTTTATCTTTAAGTCACTTCCAAGAATAAATACACTTAAGAAGCTAGAAGACTTCAGATATTTACAGGCAAAGAGAGCTGCTTAAAGGCATCTAAAAGCAGCCCCACCATGTCTCCCCCCTACCTCTTTACCTGGCAGACCAGGAGAGGCTAAGCCATTTCTACAGGGTATGCAACCAATTTTCATAGTTCTCTAAATTCCTTGATTTATTTCTCCTTTGCCTTAAGAGATTTAGTCTCTCCCTTATCCTGACCTCTTCCTCCTAAAAGTCTAATAATATATAATAATAATAATAATAATAATAATACTCTTTCACCGAAAAGGAAACTAAAACCAAAACTAAAACTGTGGACCCCAATATCCTCCAATAGTGGCCATTACCTGTTAGCTACTTTTCGTTAACAGCCAACCTTCTCAAATGAATCGTCCACATGCAATGTTTCCAGTTCCCTCTCCCACTCATTCTACAATCAAGTCTAAATTGGATTCCGTAACAAATGTCAGAAAACAGTTTCTCAAGGTCACCAATGACCTCCTACTTCCAATAAATATTTTCTCTCATCCCATTTCACTGATCTCTGAAGGAGCTAATTAACTGACACTTTCCTGAAAGACTCTCTTAGCTATGCTTATGCCACCATCTCCTGCAACCCTAATTTTCTAGCTTATACTAGTTAAATAATATTCTTCTTAGGATTCTTTTTCTGTCAGAAACATTAGAGTTTTTCCAGTGCTGGAATTTGGGCTTGAGTCTCATTTTACTCTTTTATAAACTCTTTCACTCCTGTGACTTCACTGATCAAGACGGTGGCAGGTCCCACAAAACCCAAGACTTGTGTGAGGTGTCGGGCTTTTCCTGGCAGTACTGAGAACCAGCATGAAGATTATTTGCATTTTTCTTTTTCTGTTTCTCAGGGATGAGTCAGATCTCGAAAGCTCAGTGGATGGAAGTTGAAAGAACTCAGCTTAGTACTAACACTTCATGAAAAAAACAATAATGGGGAGTGTCATTTCTTGCTGCAACGTGAGAAGCACAGAGAGCGCTGGGGCAGGGAGTCAGTCACCTGATGGTTTTGCTCTACTCCACGTCCTCCATGGAGATGCAGTTGTCCCAGACCCACCTGAAAGTTAATAAAAATTAGGTAAAGTGACAGCATCTGTAATGCAAGTCAAATGAGACCAAGTATAAACAAAAATATCATAAAAATATTTCTATTAATGGCTCAGTGAAGAGTCTTTACTACTGAAGATACTGCTCTAGTAACCACCAATATTTAAAAATGAACTTTTCTGCTTTTCT